GTTTTATCTAGTATTGGGCTTTGGCACTTGGGAGGGTATATTCTGAGAATCTCCCTTTTATAATTGGACAATATTGCAGAGGAAGGCAGAGATGAGACAAACAGCCGCACTTAATGCCACGTTCTCTAACACCTCCGTCAAGACCATATCCCCTTACCGTTAACTAAGACGGCAGCATCGTAGACCATTTAAATTAAAAAAAAAAAAATTAAAATAAAATAAAAAAAATAAAACCTCCGTCAAGAGTCAAGACCATATCCTTACCGTTAACTAACGACGGCAGCATCGTAGCTTCATAGATTCGTAATTCACTATTTTGTTTTCTTGTTTGCACTTTCGTGATTAGTAACATTTTTGTAATATACTTTTAATATTTTATTATTTTTATTTCATATTAATTTAATTATATATTTCAAATTATTATCGCTCTACTCTTCATACTATTTATTTATCCCACAAACAATCTCTTTTTTAATAAACATATTAGTACAACGTCTGCGAATTACACGAATGTTCAATAAAAAAAATTAATTGTGCAACAAATATTAATAAGAAAATAAAGTTATATTCTCATTGTGAAAACTAAAATTTATAAATAATTAATGTAAAAGTAAAAGAACTTGCAATATCATATCATTTTGAATCGTAAATATTTTATATGAAATATTATTTATTTTATTTAAAATATATTCATATTCCTCGAAAGCTTCTCGTTGCAGCATGAAAGACATAATTATGCTTCCTTCAAATCAAACAAGACATTTAGCCAAATTGTGCCTCCTGCCAACTAAATTAGTACTATGATTCTATGAAGTTTTTATCTTTTACCGTTTTTCACTCACATTTAGTAGCCCACTTAAAATCTACATATCTAACAGTAGACTTGCTCCAGCAAATAGAGAGTATGAATGTAAGAAATAGATTTTGGTATACATTATCACATTTTCAACTTCAGTTCAAAAAGTCCAATCATTTCTCAATTTCAGTAAAATCGATAGTTACATCTACAAAATAATTTGTGCCACCACGAAGTCCTTTGAGTACGAAATAATCTCTGCTTCAGCCCGGTTTTTCACTTATTTATAACTTCTTATTTGCTTCGAATTTTGCATTTAATAACAATTTCAGGAATACTAGTAAGAGGCAACGAATACACGCATTTCATGACCAATACAAAACAATACAGAAATTTCATTCAACCAATTATTTAATCTGAACAACATAATAATTTGATAACTACAAAACCATAAGCACCAAATTCCATTATTTGAGCTTTCTGAACTTCACCTCAGCCAATGCAAAATACAACTTACCTATGCAAGACAGATGAATACAATTTGATGAATATAAAACTCAATACCTGCAAATTTCCTTTAGACTTTCAATCTCATAATCCATCAAAATAAACTTCAGAAAGTAACAATTTCACAGTAAAGAACATAAAAACCACACCATAATCAGAAACCTTACCCCACAATCTGTTGAGACAAAACAGTGTAAATCCTTCTTTCATCTTATCGAAAACAAATAACGCATTGATTCTGGAGTATATACTACAAGCCGCTAAACTCTCACATAAAAAACGGAAGCAATTCATTTATTCCTCCATACGGTTGTCTTCCGAATGCTGTTGGGCAACCTTGACCTTGGTCTTGGGCAAGGTGAGTGAGGGATCCTTTTGTAGAGCAAAAGGAGCTTTGACCAAGCTAATGCCCTGGCTCAGTTCATTTAGTGCCTCTCTCGACAATTGGCTCTTCTTTCCTTTCATCCTGTCCAGTTTTCCCATGTGTAAATAAATGTCAAGCACAAGGGTCAATAACAAGCCTTTGAGGAGAAGTGGGGGGAAATTCTACTATTTTTCAAAACTGGCAAAAAAAAAAAATCCCTTATGTTTGTTTCTAGTTATGGAATTTCACCCTCAGGAGGGGGGATTGATAGGTCAATACAAACCTCAATTAGAAATTTGTAATTTCGATAGATAAATGAAGTTTTTATTAGGTAGGGAAAACCTGAGAGCGTATAAAGTACAAAAATGGTAACAGATTAGAAAGAAAAAATAACCTCTTAGCATGGTGTCTGGCCTCCCTATCAATTCTGACTTTATCAATCTTCTTAATGGCCTTTAGAGTGTCCTCTGTGACATTTCTGTCATATCTTTCAGGCCTATTTCTCTTCCTCTCAAACTCGAATGTTGCATCCTTAGAAATTTGAATGAGAAGAAAAGAAACATTAAAATATAATTCTGTTGCTGAGAAGACAGGTACCAAAAAAAAAAAAATAACACTTCAAAACAAGACTCATTAATAAACATATACCTGAGTCATGTCCTTTCCATGCAATCTTCTGTAAGCCTTGGTCCATTTTACTTTGCGTGGATTTCTCTTCATCTTGAAGTTTTTGTGGCATTTGGATCGACAAAATCGAAAGATCTACGAAAACAAAGTACAACGAAGTTCATGCATTTAAAATGTGTAAATGCAATTCATAAAGACACATTAAATAACCATCTACAGGGCAATGTTTTGAGTCACCATGTGAACTTTGAGAATTTGTTCATATCTTTTTTCAGTTCAATCACAGGAAAACGAAAATGAAAATGGACAAACAACAAATTTATAATACGTGTAATCACCAAGCATAAAATGTTCCTTGACGATGAGGGTATTGGGGCAAAATCTGACCAATGCAAAAACACAGGCAATATTGACAATGCCATAACCTAAGAATAATCAATTAAAACCTTGACAGGATCCCTCATACAAGAAATCAATTTTCGAATAAAGAAAGCTTTACCAAAACTATCATGTTACCACAAATAGTGAAGCTACAGCAAGAAAAGTGGGATTTTGCAACAAAATATTCAGAAAGCTAAACATAAATTTGCTAATATGTCAACTACATCGTAAAATCACTTAATAGATCCTAAAATGATCAAATCCTTCCAGCACTAATACATAATGACTAAATTTCCATCTTCATTATATATCTCGCATTATCATAAATCAAACTGGAGAATCTCTATCCAACAAATAATTCGAAGGAAGTTGACAATCTACATACAGAACAAGAAAAGTTCTCACTTTTGCATCATTACGAACAAATTGAATCCCATGGCCCGGGTATATAGTAGAAGAACAGAACCAGCATTTCTCCAACCTCATCTCCGCAACGTGTCAGAGAAACACTGCCCAGAAGTTCGAAATTAGAAAACAAAACAGTGATATTAGTTTAGGAATACAAGCAGAATACAAGATGTACTGTTCATTATCAACGAAAAGTGGTTCCTTTTCTTTTCACAGGACCAGAAATAAAAACAAGAAATGAATTAGAAATCAGAAGGATAAGGCAAGCTGAAAACGATTGCCAGCTTGAAGAAGGAAACTCGTGAAGTTTCAGAGTAGAGAGAGCCGTACCTTCAATCGGAGCAGAGGATCAACAAAAGAGGGGTTAGGGTTTTGATGTTGGGTTCCATATTGTGTGATAAAACGTTACTTATAAATCGCCACTCAAAAGCTTTGTCGCGTGATTCCATATTATGTGATGAAATGTAGCATGTACATTGGTAAGGAACCAAGTCACATCGTATGCCTGTTTTTTTAAAGTAGATTTAATCTCTGTTTCTAATATTAATGTAGTACATCTTGTGATTTTTGTGTTCGAATGACTAAAATAACTGACAAATTATAGATTTATAATTGAAAACCAACCGAGTTTGATAAAAATCGAACAAAAATTTTTGGTTCGGTCGGTTTCGGTTGGCTTTAGTCGAACTATGGACACATCAATTAAAATTGATTGTTTTATCTATTTATCCTAAAAAAACTCCAAAAATAAAGTCCAACAAATACATTTAGCTCTATTTTGGGATTGTGAACTTTTTTATTTTTATTTTTTTCTAATTTAGTGATTGATGTCAGTCTGCCTTCACCTTTAGGGTCGGTTTGGTTGAACTTTGGTATTGGGCATGATAAATTGTGATTGTATCTCTTTTATACGTGTAATCACCAAGCAAAAGGATCACCTCGGGCTTCAGTGAGATTATTTGTGATTGTATCTCTTTTATAGCCCTGTTTGGTTGATAATGTACATTGGATCGAATCCAACCCAATAATTTATTCTCTTGTTTGGTTGAGACTAAAAATGAATGAAATGAAATGTATTTCCGCAAATTGACCCCATCTTCTTCAAGAAACCATCATACAAATGGCCAATATATAATTTGCAACCCAAATAATCCAATGAGGTTTAATGACTATATGCAATATACCNAAAGACACACAAACTCAACATAACAATACGTACAGTAAACAACCAAAAATCCCTAACATCGAGTAGATCTGAGTAATTTCTTAGATAGGCGAAAATATGAAGATAGATAATGTGGCTGTCGGAGTTCCACGGCTACAGAGAAACACCTGAAAAACCACTGGCATTGGGATACATATAGACTAGCCTATTCATGGCGGATAAGTCTCGAATAGGGCCAGAGAATAAATTGTTGCCCAAATCCATGTACTTGAGGAAGAAGTTATTCAAATCCTCCGCCACACGACCACTGAGCTTGTTCCTTCCCAGGGCGAGCTTCTCGAGTGAATTGAGCTCCCATATGGGTATTAAAGGGACCGACTGGGGAGGTCATGCTCCGAGAGGTCGATTCCGGTGACAGAGCCCGTCGGTGATTTTGGGGAATTCGCAGGTGAGAGGATCGGGTGGCCAGGAATCAAGCGTCAAGATTGATGAATTGATCGTCATGATTGATGAATTACCTGACGACGGAGACGACGACAAGGTTTACAAAAACCCTATGCTAAATATATTTTGTCCATAGCCGCTGAGTTTTCTCTCTCGCTTCAAATCCAAAAACATGTAGATGGAGGAATGAAGAGATAATTTTCTGCATATCTGAGAATGGCAAATTGGACATTTAGCTAGTCCACTTAAATGGAATGATAAGGTATCCCTCACTAGACTCGGGATACGTAAAAACAAAAATAGGGAAAAAGAAGACGGGCTTTGTTCATATCATGGACTTTTTTGTTCTCAACCAAACTATTTATACTTGTGGATATAATATCATTTTGCAGGATATCAAGCCTAATATGGGCAACCAAACGCACCCTTAAAGTAAATCATTATAAGAAGCTGGCGGGTAAGAATTTAACTCATATTCATAGTTGAAGTCAGGATCATTCATGAATCTAATGGCAACCAAGTATTTTGTGATTTTTGGAGTGGAGAGTGAATGAGAAAGTAAGAGAACAAACCACGAAGAAACACAACTGAAAAGAAAAACCACGAAGAGCCAAAACCATTGAAAAATAATATAAGTGAAAAAATGTAGATATATATATATATATATATATATATATNTNNNTNNCNNT